GTTGTAGATTTTATGTGACTTTTTCCGGCGCACGCAGCTTCCATTACTACCACTTTTTTTTAGACACAAGGTTCCGTGGAAAAGGTGGCTGAATTCCACGGGTAATTACTGAAATGAATGGCTATCCATCACGGGCAATATATAAATGATCTTTGAAATAACATAAGAAGCAAGGAGTACTATTGAGGTGTGGCGGGGGTCAGAAAGGGGCTCAATGTGCTAGATATTCTCTGATTCGAGTAGTATAATAAACAACACACAAGTAGCTGGGTATGCGATATTATATTTCTCCAGCTTCGGAGTTTGTATCATACTTGCGATATTCTAGAGTTTCAAAAATTTGCCTCGTTATTTATGTACTTGTTCTCACGCCTCGTCCTCGTTTCCCATTTATTCCTACCTCCCTTCAACCTCTTTTCGTAGACGGCGTTAGTCTACTCGAAAGTTCGCCGTAACACTAACTCTCAATCAGGAAAATTCCTTTGTGAAGTTGTGGTGCAAGGAATACTTAGAGAAGTGTTGAAGATCGACACACCGTTACTTCTCATGTAGGTAGGTTAAGAGTATTAAGGCCCATTCAGACAATGGCACACTGCATATAGGTAGATAGGCTCTCCTTGGAGCTCTTAGTCATAGCAGTCAATACAATAATTCTCTAAGAAATTCTACCGTTCTCCCCATTATTCCATACCTGGCCCTCTGAAAATTGACCATATATGACGCAAAGTTGTGACATGCCACTTTCTGCCACGACACATGGGCTTTGTCATATTTACAGCAAGGTACTGATTTCTTCGGGCAGTCCCTGGTCTGATGATTGGCCGTACGCCCTCCAAATCTCCTTGCCTTATTGCAGGAGTCTTGGATATGGCCTCATCGGCTGTAGTTGAAGCACTGCTTAATTTATGATGGGGTTGACTGGAGCTGTGCCGTGTAACGTATTGATTTGAAGAAACTTTCATTTCTAATCATTTCACGTTGAAGTGCCTTGGTCGGCAAACTCGCGATGATTGACCCTCGAGTATTGCCGTTTTTCCACATCCATTGGTGCTCCTTTCCGTCAAAGAGCCATCTCACCTTGCTAATTTTTAATTCTGGAATCCAAACCTTTGTTTCTGCCATGATTAGATTTATTAATAAGTCATTATCTAAAATTTTCCCTCCTCTTATTCGTGTCTCCTAGGAGATTCCCAAGATTTGAAAAGGGTAATACTACTTCCGAACGCAGAACTCCTGTGGCTGCACCATCCTCAAGGCAACGTCTCTTTGGGAGACTGATTGCATAAACACCTCTGTATCATTACTCTGTAGCTGCTTTGCGGCGTAAGTCTCCTCAACGCCTAATTTTGCCTTAAAGAATAGCTCTACCGGCTGCATTTTGTCTGCTCATTGTACACGTGTCCATACTGCCGCTTTGGTCGCTATCGGTACGACGATTAAGGCGTAAGTGGTTCGTTCTCCCGTTACCTGTGCCGACTGTGGAGTCGCCTTGCGGATCGGCTCCTTGAGACTCTTCTTTACTGCCCTCTCTAAGGTCGGCATCCTCCTCTTCATTGATGTGGGCGTGAACTTCGATCATAACATCGTCGCATGAGTCGTGAAGGCTTATAGAGCCCCATTCACCTCGACCATCGGTGCCGCAGTTGGGTTAGTTCCTGCTATCTCCAATTTGACTCTAACATTGTTTAGAAAAAACCCCATCGATTTATGATCATTCATATTGACATCTGTAGAGTTCACGAGAAAATTCACAGCTATAATTGCAGCTGTTACGTTGTCCATTTGGGGGGACTATTCTCAACACCTGTCAGTGGTGTCCCCTACGAACCTCCAGCTCTCACTGTAGAGTCTGCAGAGCCGAGATTGAGTAACAAAGTCCTCACTTCGAAGAGGATTCCCAATCGCTTTCGCGGTCTGTATCGTCTTCATCTCTCAACACATTCCCCTATCACCATTATCATGAAGCTTACCACGATCAGATCAGATGGTAGGGTCGGAGCTCTTCTCATCACCCACCCTTGATCATGGAGGAGAAGCCATCCGATGAGTTTCCGGAGCGTACCCATCACCTGATACGGAGATGGTGGATTGGATCAAGTCGACCTCGACTGTTACAAAGAAGGGAGATATAGATGAATATGCGCACCTCATGTGGTCCCGGTGTCTAGGCCTCGCCTGGCTGGGACTGCAGGTTTTTTGAGACTTTTTCCCGCGCACGCAGTTTCCATTGCTACCATTTTTATTTTTTTTGGGTAGAAGGTTCCGTGGAAAAGGTGGCTGAATTCCACGGGTAAATACTGAGCTGAATGGCTATTCATCAAGGGGAATATATCAATGATCTTTCAAGTAACAAAAGAGGATAGGAGCACTGTACAAGGTGTGGCCTGGGTCAGAGAGGAGCCCAATCTGCTAGATAGTCATAGACTCAAGTAGTACAATAAAAACACACACACACACACGTTGTCCGTTGGCGGTTTCGGTTGTTCCGCAAATATTCTTCCTGCCGCAAAATCCACCTTTTCAAGCCACTAACTCACAATGCCGGAGCGCAACTTTAAAACATTAGGGAATCAGATCAAGATGGTAGCAATTACTTAAATGATGAAATAACATATTTGGATCGTTATCCTGCTTTTGATAAAACGATGATAATTCTGAATAAATAATTGTTGAAGTACAAGTCATTGAGCCTCAGAATACATGTGACTTAATTTGTAAGCTGGGCCAAACTAGGGTCTAGCCGGCAAAGACGAATTCTTCACCTTCCAGTGGTGCCGGTGTAGTCGCTCAGTATGCTCTGCATATCTGGGATAGCCAAGAAGAATCGCATCCAAAGCGAAGTCGAAAGCACTCACAAGCAGATCTAAAATCGACGGCTCATCGTCAATGTCAGACCTATCATTCTTACGCGAGTCCTCCACCTCAATCTTACCACACCACCTCGCCTCAAATACTGATAATGGTGGCACTCCAATTGCAATAGGACATTTGCTTCATCAAAAACCAGTAATGTCCCACTACACATTTACGATGCTATGTATACCCGCGAGGAGGAAATCAAGTCATAATCTACAAAGCTCGGGTCTCGGTCTATTGGGGACCTTTGCTCTAATAGGGCTTCACATCTTGAGGGAGAACAGGTAGCTGGGACGTGGGACGAACGAGTGAAGAGGTAAAAAATGGGCATGTTGGGACGCACCGTTTTCGAGTGTCTTCGACTTAAGATTGTCTGTGGGTGCAGAAGCAACAGTTTCGGATAGTGCAACCAACACTTTAAAAATAGGCAACGATGGAAGGTGTTTTGGTCCGCCTCCTGGTCGTCATCTCCCCGAATTAAAGTCTGGGTAGCCTGGGCACCTACCTCACTCGAGAAAGGGAGGACTGTGAGGCCATATCTCGCGCGGCAGCTATATACAAGATGGCAAAGGCATGTTAGGGTAGCCAAAGGTTTTTCCTATTCTTCCCTTTGGTGGGTATTAACGGTTGAGAGAAGGGTGAAAGTCCCTAGCACCGAGGTCTCGAGTGGTATCAGCGAATGCACCCACTACATGAGTAGTTCAAATGTTAAACTGAGTTATCGTCGTATATAGTCGCCGGAGAAGCTAGTCTTCTCCGTGTCATGCTCTTTGAGTGCAGGGCTTGTGCCTTTCACGAATAAATTTTCATCATCTTAAACTAGGGTCCATAGAATATATCGTGAATGTAGAACTCAGTAGTTAGAACGATAATGTATCAAATAAGCTCTAGGAATTTACCAGCAGTACAGTTTTCTATCCATATCTTCTTTCAATAATAATTCTTATTTATAAGTATTTGGCTACGTATTTAATACCCGGCTTCTTAACCATGGACAACTACTATAATTTGGCCGTCTAAAATTGATCGAGAAGCTCATGATTTCTCCATATTACACATTTTTCAGTAAATCGATTTCATGAGTTTTCCTGAATAAAATTTTCATGGCATTATATTGCCCTTGGAAGACTGTGTTGCAACGCGTGTGCTCGATAGGATGGAAAAGTTTTGCAGACTTTCCACAGTTGAGTGAAAATCGACAGGGAAGCTTCGAAAAAAATCAGTTCGATTCTTTGACTAACACTTTCTAATAAGGAATATTGCCAATTGCAAAAATGAGAGGAATACTATTTATCAAATTGACCGAATGGGTAGCATCACATTTGGATATCCTACGATTAAAGTCTGTGCTACCAGAAAAACAAAAAAATAATAAATTTTAGCACTATATCTGCTACATTCTATGAAGGAACTTCTTACTTGTAATTCATCAATCTGAATCCATGTGAAACAAGTATTGTTCCCGATTCTGTAGGGCAAATCTTTTACTCGGAAATCTTGAGATCAACAGCTTTGCTCTCAGAAGTATAATCTACTAATTATTCGGACGTGACTTCCCCATTTTGGACTGGTAAGTGTCAAAAGTGCGTTATGTGGTAACTTAGTCAATATTCCATGATAAACTGACTCAAAGAATTTCAAAGGGTGAAATATGGTAACTTTCCTTGAGATATTGGACAGCGGGTTTTTGTGAGTCAGGTAATATACGCTTGAGTATATTTATCCCACTTGTAAATAAAATCGATGAGTCTTAATGGGAGATACAGAGGTTGCAACAAAATTCCTATGTGCGCGGACGAGATGAGCGTAGATGAAGGCTGAAACGTTAAGTGACGGATGTGATTTTGTCTAATTTTTCAGCACAAATGATTTCAGGTCCTGCAGATATTGATTATTATTCATAGACAAGGATTGCCGTATAGGTGTATCTTGCCAATGACCTGGAATCCTATTCTGGTAATCCGTAGGCCCGAGCCTCCGCAACATTGGGTTACTTGAGCTTAGTGCGAAGCAACAACATGAGTTATGAAAGTGACGTGGCGCAGAAATACATGAGGGACTTTAATTAGAATGACATTCGCTGCGTGAGTCTTTGCCATCTAGGAATGTTGTAATTTTAATATTATTAACAACATTTAAGATAATTAAACGAGTCCATCGTAAAGTGACAGTGCAGATACTATAGTTTCATCACGTTTGCTGCCTTCTTTGAATTCTTCCATGTCCAAGCAGCCGTTTTCGTCTTTGTCCATCATGCGGAAGATTTTCTTGACGCGTTTCTCGGGCGTGTCTTCGTCTGTTGGTAGTTTAACCATCGAGCCAACCTAAGACTCAGGTTAGACAGGGATTAAAAGGCCAAGTTACGCGATGTGGGGCAAATTTTATTTGCGGATATCAACCTACCATCTTGTAGATAGCTTCGACAATGGCTAGCATTTCTTCAAAGGTTATCTTTCCATCGCCATCTATATCATAGAGTTGAAATGCCCAATCGAGCTTATCCTCCATTTTCCCTCTACTTGTAACGCTGAGGGCGCATATAAATTCTTTGAAGTCGATAGATCCTGATTTGTCACTGTCAAAGACATTGAACACATAATCGGCAAATGAGGATGGATCGCCGAAAGGGAAGAATTGCCGGTAAATTTTTTGAAATTCTTCCTTGGTGAGCATTCCTGATGGACAGTCCTTTAGGAATCCTGCGGTAAAGTTAATTCGATTCAGAGAGTACGTCAGATGATAGCTTACCCTTGTACCATTGCTGCAGCTCTTTCTTATCGAAGTGAGTAGATTTTTGGAGTTCACCCAACTGATCTTGAGAGAGTTTCGACTGGCTAAAGCAGAGGGGTTAGTCCTTGGCCTAAGCACTATGAACCAAGCCTAGGGTCTGGCTCGACTGTTTATAGGACCCATTCTTCACTTACGATTTGCCCATCCTGTAAGTTTAATTATATCTTAAAAATAAAAGGGTTTAACAGGATACTATGCGTCGTGGATAAAAGTATTTCTTGGTGACCGTCGAGATTCCAAGTTTAGCTGAACGCTATGAGATAGATAAATAATAGTCTTTAACCTTTGGCACAGGTTAATCTATGTGATTATTGATTCGCTATGAAACTTTACTGCAGATAAACGTTTCCTTGTGCTTATTGGCATCCAGAAGTGAGGTTAATGAGGGCGAGATTCTAAAGCTAGCAGCAGCTCAGCTACCCTACTTGAGATAAAACAGAAAATGAAATAGAGAGAGTGTGTGTGTGTGCGCGCAAGGAAGTGTGAAAGAATGAGAAGGGTTGTGTTAAGTAGTGAGTGATTGTCTGAGATAAATGTAAAAGACCTACGAAGTTTGGAAGTGTTTGCAAGATATTGTACTCGAATTATTGCTAAGGAACAACTACTCGTTGAGGGGACAAGCATCATCCAGCTTAGCCGCGTCACTGCTGCTTTGACAAGTTTTGAGCTTCAGTCTTGTTTTGCAGGGTCCTAGCCAGGATGTACAGCGGATCAAACAGCTCTTCGCAAACACTTTCTCTCGATATGACCCCAAAACTGTATCTTAATTTGGTCATCAAGAAACCTCAATGAATTGAGATTTATCCTAGTCTTGCGACGTTACAGGGTGTACTTGTGGCTCGGTGACATTAGGTCCTGGCAAGTTAGGTCGATATTCATTTGGCCAGACGGATTAGAACGCTAACCCCAATTGACAAATGTCTGACATGTTAATGATCTGGATCGGCTTACACTATCTCTAAACGCCGAACATGCAGCCTTGGCGCGGGTATTTTCGATATTGACTAAGCGTCAGCTATACGTGGCCATGGAGTCTCTTAATGTATAAGAGAAACAGTCTAGCGCAGAAAGGCGTTACAAAACATACGAAAGCAACGGAAGTATCAGACGAAACATTCATGCATAGTCTGAAAACGAAGAAGGCCTCTCTGGTCGACTGGTCTCGATGATTGCGACGGCCCTCCGGCACCCCTGAAATATATTCTGTCTGAGACTATCTTGACGCAGGAAAAGGTTCACTCCAAACACACCCAAATTCGTCGCTTCCAAATTCTAGATTCCTTGGGTCAAGGCCCTGAAATTAGTGAGCTATAATACGAAACTGGTGTCTAAAATCTTCCTAGACACTATTTCATTAAATACAGCAAAAATGGGCTAGACAATTTTTTAAATGGGCGCATAGAAGACGTGATATCGGGGACCACCTTATATTAGAATGCTACCAGTAGCACAGAGGGCTTGAATATGAATCTAGTGCATACATCTCGCTGAAAGGAGTCGAAGTGGTGCATTTTTCTTCGTATACAAAATAGACTAAAGCCACATCTTTGTGAGCAACTATATGACCTTCACTTAACGATATCATGGTATTGAGTGTATCCCAAATTTATCGTTAACACTGCAGCCGACCTAGCTCGCCAACAGAATCTATATAATTTCGTAACGCAATATTCTCTAATTTCCTCAGCTTGTGAAGAATGAAAGCTACAGTAAACAGTAATCGTAGTATCAGAGCAAATTTTACCAAGAACGGCTAGCGCCATAGACCACTGCTCGTTCAATTGAAAGTTAGTCCATGTTCAGGGATACAAATGAGCTTAATCTTAAGTATGATAATACGAGGCGTGTGCGTGGGAGCACGAGCGTTGATAGGCTTTAGAGAAGAACGTTCACAGAAACTGGAGAGGAATCTCTCCCAAGTCTACTTCATATTGCACGTGATCTGAAATTCAGTGATTTTAACATTGACGGGCGTTGAGACCACAGAGTATTCTACCAAGGTATTTTTTCCAGGAATGCAAAAAAAAAGGGCTTGTCCCTCACTGTCCATAAGAGCAAAGTGTAAAGTTGAACAGTTGGAACTCTAAATATGTAGCTAGTATCTTATTTGTAGATTCTAGGAGTCCTCAATAGTCTTTGACTCAGTTAGGACTATAATACAAATCTAATCTAATCTAATCTTCCAGGAATGCCAAACTCAACAGTGTCTTCTAACGCTCTAATGAATTAGGCTAAGCTAGTAATTCTAAGGCAATACCGATGTTTCACAATTAAATGCCTCGCAGATTTCTAGGGCTCGGGCATTAGTTCTCTTATCCCCCGACGCGGACTGCATTTCGCCGGTGAGCCGCATTAGCTGACCCGCGGACAACATAAACGTAACTCTAAGACTGGCCTCAAGAGGAGATTCTGATTGAGCAGGTATCATGTTTATCTTACTGCCTGCAATTAATGCTAGTAGGCCGTGCCAAAACTTGTATAGATCCTTGGGCTAAGAGTTTGAGCTAATAAAAGAATACAGTATTCCCAAACGAAGCTTCGACCAAGACTGGCTGACTAGGTACGAGCCGAGCCTAAGAAATGCCTCGAGCATTTTTTGAACGAGGAGATCGATGGGTCTTCCCTAGTTTGATGACTAGCCACGCTATCTTGCCCCTGGACAATCAGAATACCAACATTATTTCCTGTAGTATCATATTTATCTCTATGTGATGTGATGATTTACTGTACTGCTTCAGTCATTGACTATCTAGTACATTGGGCTCCTCTCTGACCCACACTACACCTCAATAGTGCTCATTGCCTCTTATGTTAATTCAAAGATCATTTATATTGCCCGTGATGGATAGCCATTCAGTTCATTAATTACTCGTGGAATTCAGCCACCTTTTCCACGGAACCTTGTATCTAGAAAAAGTGGTAGTAATGGAAACTGCGTACGCCGGAAAAAGTCACATAAAACCTACAACCCCAGCCAGGCGAGGCCCAGACACCGGGACCAAATGAGGTGCGCATATTCATCTACATACCCCTTTCATAGGCAGTCGAAATGCGGCATGCAATCTTAACAAGACCGCTATTTAGGGACCAATGCAGTAGAGTTTAGAACGTATTTAACTAGATTACGAGGTTTGACGATTCATAAGGAGTGAGTGAGTGTTTATTGTCCTAATGAACCTATGACTATGTAAGGAAATGTAGGTCCTTTCTGCCTACAGGCTGGGAGTATCTATGCCTCGGGTAGTGTACTCCCTCCTATGCCTACTTCACGACTTCTCTCCAGCAGTAATACCCCAACAGATCTTCATTCTAGAACACACTCAGAGGAGCCGTTATCCCGTCATAATCTCCCCTCTCCAGCCAACGAAGCGATGGCTATTTGCGGGTGTGTAGCTGCAGATAAAAGTCTCAAAGACCACTGGGTGCAGGGCTCTCCTATGACGAAGAGGCCGGCCAACTGGGCGCAGCAGACCTGTGTATACCTAAGAGCGTCTCTCAAACTTCCTGGTCTCCTCTTTCCTCTTTCCCTGATTGATGCCGCAGGACAAACAGAAGGTCGTGAAAGTATGTCAGAAAAGTCTTGGTGGAGAGTGACTGCGGTGAAGGAGCCTAGCCTAGTATCCAAAAGTCGATACGGACGTGGGGTTGTCGAGTAACTCATGTATTTCGGATGCCCTCCTGGCTAGTAGATTCGAAGTTAAGATTAGTAGGGACAATGTTGTAGACCAGTCGAAATCTGCTTTTCTTGAGGGCGGAAGGGTCTTTTACTTTGCTTTCGTGGGCTTTTTGTTCGCCGGCCGGTGAGTAGCACATGTTGTGATATAACGAGGGATTCTCTGACTAACGTTGTAGCGTTTGGTACCGCACTATCTTTCCTCAATCCCAGCAGCATTATTGTCGTCTTGATCGTCTTGGTCGTCTTGTGTATCATCGGAAGAGTATCTTCGACGGAGGGGGAGATAACTCGGCTCAAAGTTGAAAATGTCTTACTTAATCTCGGCTCCGTAGACTCTACAGTGAGAGCTGGAGGTTCGTAGGGGACACCACCGACAGGTGTTGAGAATAGTCTCCCAATTCACAAGGAGAATGTGGAAGCAAACTACCATGTCGAGGCGCCCGGAGTCTGTGCGCAGTGTTGCGCCGACTTCCGAACGGGATAGATACTTAGTGCTGATAGAATCCTGAGGCACTCTTATAAATGTCAGATGGTGACGCTGCCACGGCCCTTATGCACAACTTTTGAGTTCGACAAGGTCCATCCTAGTACTGCTGTACCGGGAGTTCTGAGTGATACGGAAATCCATCTGAAGGTCCCCTTTGAAAAATGCTCGGTGATAAGAAGGGCTTCGACTTTACCATTTGACCAGACCGTGGTTAATTTCATGATTATAGGTATAATGGGTGGTGCTTAGAGATCGAGACGATACAGAGCGCGAAAGCTATTGAGAATCTTTATCGAAGCAAAGAAAAGAGTGCTTCTCAATCTCGACTCGGGATGAGTGTCTCTAATGTCAAAAGAGTCATCCCACATGTATAAATAGCACCGGTCATGTGTCATAGCTCCATAGCTAAATACACTTAGATGATTTAAAAAATTAAAATTAAAAAATATCAGCTCTGCAGTTTCTACAGTGACAGCTGGAGATTCATTGGGAGCATCACTGATAAGTGTTGAGTTTTCGTCCCACTTTCGAGGCACATTCAGTGGCTCATAATACATTAAATTTACTTTCGCATAGTCAGAGAAATTCCAAGTCTATCAGCCTTGCTTAATTTTACCACTTTATGCAAAAGTAAATACAAGGACGGATAGATAGGTGGTGTTCAACTCCTCGCTCACCTCGATATCAAGACTTGGATAAGCGAACGCGGATTCTTAAACCCCCAAATTATCGCTATCTCAGAGACTATCACACGAACGTATTGCCACAAGATCAGGAAATCGGGATTTTGCGACTTTCCAGCGTCGCATGAAGCGCAACGATGCAAACCTGGCATGTACCTGTGGCCTAGTAAGGACACCTGCCCACTTTATACACTGTTGAAGGTACAATAATTAAATGCGTAAAGTTCAAAAAGAAAGGAGCTTAAATGCTTTCATCACGCAACTCCTCGAAAAGAAAGGGCTAGAGAGACTTAAGACTGATGCGTAGGTTACAGGCTGCTTTAATAGTTCGGATACAAACTGGTTGTCTGCTAGATACAAGGACATTATTTAGAAAACTACCATGACTAGCACCCCAGCGAAGAAGAGCGCAGGGCATAACTGAACACTTGTGCGCGGTGTTCATTACGAACCTGGGGGTGAAATAGTCTCCCAGAGCTAAGTTCAGTAAAACTTCGCGATGCGATAGAAGTTGGCTCACGAAGTAATGATTCAGGATACTCCACCACGTCAATTTTTCACTCCCAACGAGATCAATTTACATACAAACCACATCAAATCTACAAGTACGACCAAGTACACCGGAGGGCGGGACGGAACACCTACACGCGGTGTCCTCTACGAACCTGGGAGTGAAATATTCTCCCAGAGCCAAGTTCAGTCAATTTTCGCAATATCAAAGAAGTTGGACCATGAGGCAATGATTCAATTTATTCCTCCACGTCGTTTTTTCACTCCCAACGAGTTTGACTCCTGCCTAAGTCTCATCAAGTCTACAAGTACGACCCAGTACATCCTCGTTTCAATGACCACACTTCTCGTCGACTTTCTCTGGCCTCAGCCGGTCACCAAATACACGCCCACGCCGATATTTATACCCGACGGAGGAAGCAAAGCGTGGCGCACAAATCTGGGAGACAGTTTGGGATGGACGTGAGAGGGATCAGGACAATTTGACAAGATGGTGCAAAGGAAGAATATAACTTCGAAGGGCGTGAAATTTGGAATTTTGGTAAGTTGTTTTACGTATTGGGCTTTGTGCGCGCCATGACTTCGCTAGCGAGAAAGCAGCTGACACTATAAACACAAGCAAACGATGCAAGGTGTTGTGGTCCGTCTCCTGGTGGTGTTCTCTGGTATAGTCTGAGTAGCCTGGGCACCTACTCCACTTGAGAAGGAGACACCTCAGACCATATTTCGCGCGAAGAAAAGTTGAAAGATGATGGAGGCATGTCTGGATAACTCAGGGTTTTTGAGACGTTTCCCTGGGTGGGTATTCACGGATGAGGGTTGACTTGGGGTGAAGAAAAAGCCACCATAACTTCGCAATGGTACTTGCAAATGAAATCCGAGGCATGAGTGCTCTTCCTTAACGATGAATCATCTATTCTGTACTTTTCTTTGATATTGTGTCATAGCTAGATAGCTGCATACGCAACTAAAATAAGATGCAAAAGAAATAAAAAACAAAGCACTTATCATACGTCATTTTTCTTAGCTGAAAACAAATTAAGTGGATAAAAATCTTAGTTGGAGAAAATTATTTCCAAGTTATTATTCACGAATGCACAACGAACAATATTTATATTGTTGCTGTTTACATTAATTTCATAACTGGGGATTAAAATCGAGAAAATTTTGCGGCCCCAATTTTTAAGTAGTTGGTCTACTACTTCATATCTTGCCTTTCTTAATGCTCTTCTGGATCTTTGTTCTATCGTCAGCAGAATGACTCAGTATGTATGAGTTTCAGTATTTCTCTAGTAGGGTCCGAATATAATAAGTGACATTCCATTGAAGGATAACCGAATTAGTCGCATAAGCCCAAGACCCTCCCAGCGACCTCATTCCATGTATCATCCCACCTTTTCTTGCCTTCCTCCAAGGCCCCGCGTCTTAAAGCTGCGAGCTGTGATCCATCTTTTTCTGAAAATAATTCTTGCAGTATGCTACTTAAAGCCTCAGAAGTATGGAAGCCTCTTCCATTTTCTCCTTCTCTAACTAGCTCTTGCCAGCTCTCATATGCATCGTACCCGACTACAGGAAGCCCAGCGCCAAACATATCAACCACTTTCATCGGTAAATCTACTCCACTGCTGCTCATGTGTAGACACACTCCGAGATCAGCGACTGATAGTAGGGATGCATAAGACTCTATACTGAACCAGGCTGTACGAATGGTTATATTTTGAAGTTTTCCTGTTGATGTTAAAATTTTTATGCGGTCAATGTAATCCTGTTTCTGTGGGCCCTTTCCAGTAATAACTACAAGAACAGATGGGAGCTGTCTTTGGCTTGCGGCATAGCTGCACAGGGCTTCCAATAAGAGGTTGAGATCTTCATCTGGTGTCCAGCTCGTACTACTTACGAGAAGTTTGGTATCACCGGAAATGATATCTTGGGCATGGGTAGCAGTCTCTGGTAGATGTTTAAGAAAGGCTTTTCGCGCCTCGATGCATTCTATCGGCTGAAATATATCGGGGGGGCGGTCATGCAGAGTAAGTATGGGGGTACATATGTTGTATGGTGGACTCTTGAGCTGACGCCGCATAGCGTCTGAAACGGTGAAGTTGGCCGTTGGCGCCCAATTACCTAGAGTAGATTCGTAATACTTGTGCATTTGAACAAAGGGATGTTTTGGTCCTTTTGTCCCTGCAAGGATTGACCAGCCATAATTGTGCCAGTCAATTATCAGGTGAGTGTTTCTAACAAAACAAATAAAAAGAGCGATTAGCAGAGTAGGTATAGCAGGAGGATTTTGGACGAGAAGCCACCGGGTGGGCTTAGTACGATAGCTCAGAGCGTAGCTGAGAACAAAAAGTTGCCACAGCACTTTGAGGGGACCAGCGATTACAAACGGTATCCAGGAAAAGCCTAAGGCACGGGGTGGTTGGGGTATAGGTATTATCGTGACGCGCGGACTGGCGACAAGTTCGGGGTGGACTGTCGAGTCTACAGTTTATTAGAAGAGTAATGTCTGATAGAGAAATGCGAATGACCTAGGTATCCTATTATCTCCACCTGGCCGCCATGTTTGGCAATACTCATGGCGTGATACTGCATACGCGGACTACGCCCAATGTCACCCAGTACGAGAACTTGAACTGAAATCTCTGGAGTATTGCTGGAGGCTTTTCGAGACGCACGATGGTGCGATTGATGAACATATCGGGACGGGGCTAGTAAAAATAACACTGTTATAGTCGTGGAGACTATTAATGCCACTGATACGAGGACATCTGACATGCTGCGCCAAGTTCGAATTTCTCGGAGTTAAGTTACTTGCTTGATACAATATTTGACATACTCCCATACAATAATTCCGAGATGAAAGGTTTGCAAAGCAAGCGTAGCAAGTGACTGCGGCAGCAATATGTAGTAGACCAAGTTTCTACAGGACGCCACTCTCAGATTACGTAATAAACGAGGGCATTGCCGATGACCGCGCCACGAACTAGGCCCAGTTTCAACACTCCACGCCCTATCGCAGCTGCTTAATGCCATATCCAGACAAAAAATAGCCAGAATTCACCTTGTAATTAGCTGATTATTGATTTAGATCAGAACAACTATCCATCTTTGCTTGAGAATCTTGGGTGTTACGTTGTGATCGGCAAGCTCTGTCAATCAGTCTCAACGAAGGAGAGTGAAGGAAATTTGACAAGTAGGCGCATGGGATGAGCCACAGTGATAGAAGGCTCTTTATAAGTCTTCCACATTAATTACGAGTCGCGATCATGAATGAACACTACAATTTTTTAATTTCCTCCATGTTCACTGTACAAAGGACATTACTCCGTCGAATACCCAGACGGGTTTTTGAAATGATGATTTCCCGCAATGTGAAAGGGTGTTTTAAATAGACTTTTTAAGTTACCATATGACCTTGATTCCCTTTTAGAATGACACCAATGATGGCAGAGGTGTGGCGTAAGGCCGAAGACCTACTGCTCCTAAGACTTCGCTGAGACCTGTCGTTGTTCTTAGCTTCTCAATAAATAAACGCATAGATCTTCTCTATGACGATTATCCAATACTTGATGCTTTGTGCAAAGAAATCGGATCTTCGGGAGCTTTAATCCTTTGATTCCGAAATAGGCTTACGAATTCGAATGCGGAGCGCAATGTACCAAAATATCTAGAGGTCTGACATGTAGCAAGCTAAATCTATAACTGTAGCTAGTTTAATTGTCAACGGCCGCAAGCCTCTTCAACTTGCCGAATCATACTAGGTGCTATTGACGGCGAAATAGTAGCGTTCTCGCCGTTGCCCAGACGACTCCGATGTGACAATGAAGACCATGCAAAAGGAAGTAAGAGTAACATCCCTGACACATCGCCACCGCTATTTGCTAACCATTTCGGTGCTAAGGCTAGTCATTAATATCTTCTCAAGCCCACGTCATGCCGTCGGTGGTCATAGATTCACTCAATCGTGTGATATCCGACGAACGAGACTGGTTGCCGGACATCAGTAAATGCTGGTCCGTGCTGGCAGGGTGAGAGGCTGTCACGCTTCTCTAGCAACCTTGACGTTCATGCGCGACTTATACCCATGGTAGTAAAGCCTCCAACCCCCGACTCATACGCTTTCCCACAAACGCCTATCTAATCGGAGTTGAAAAAGCGTGATTTATCTGGGAGACGTCTACAAGTATAATATCATATTTACATGTGGATTGAAATTATTGAAGAGCTATCAAAAACTCCTTTGCCCGCCGAAGGCATGGCTCTCATATCTGCGTCAATGTCGTACACTAGCCACAGTCATGGGCATCGAAGTCACAGTTTTGTTCCTCCTCGGTCCTTGTCCCCAAGTAGACCGTCAAAGAAGGGTAACAGCTTGAAGACTGGGCGCCAAAATACTGTTTGCTCACATCCACAACCCGATCTCGATTCATCTCACGGCAAATTTGCAGAATGTTCTACTCGAAACACTGAGTCTATTCGACCCTCAACCCCTCCAAACCCGATAAGAGGTGATGGATTATCGCCATCATTCCTACAGGAGAGCGCAGTGGCTGGGGTAACATCTATAAATACATTATCTGCTGAAAAAGAACAAGAATCAGAACATCAACGGCGCTCAATGCACGATCATAAACATCATCACAAACATGATCACAAACATGATCATCATGATAATACTGAAAAACGCTCCAAATTCACAAGAATGATGATGCGTATGACGGAAAGATGGCCAATCATCCATGCGGCTCTTACCGAGAAAGATTCAAGGAGAATTCTTTACTTTATGAGGTAGGGATCTAAAATAACCGTCCTCAATGCCTGCGTTGATAACTAAATAGTCTTAACTTTGGCTTCATGCTCATACAAGCTTTCTATGGCTACTTAACTGACTCTCTCGGTTTACTCAGTGATAGTATACACATGTTCTTCGATTGTCTAGCCCTCGGCGTTGGATTATTTGCAGCTATCGCAAGTAAATGGCCACCTAGTCAAAAGTTCCCATTTGGATTTGGAAAAATTGAGAGTCTTTCAGGCTTTGGAAATGGTGTATTTTTGATGTAAGACGTACTACTAACGGTCTACTTGATTCTTGCTAACACAAGGAATTAGACTCATAAGTATAGAGATCATGATAGAAGCAGTTGAAAGAATTATCGATGGTCACGAGACCCAACGCCTCGGAGAACTCTTCGCTGTTAGCTTCCTCGGATTATTGGTTAATTTAGTCGGCATGGCATGTTTTGGACATCATGGGCATGATCATGCAGGCCATTGTCACAAGTCCGCTTCTTCGCCCTCCAACTCACACAAAAATTCACACAATCACCTCTCGGAACTAGAGTATACTCATGAATCTTGTAGTCACAACCAAGGAAGCCACTCTCAAAGAATGAAAAGCAAGTCACACTCTGCTGACTTTTCTTCCCTTAAGAATTTAAAGCAACCGAGGAGCATTGAAGACTCAATCCATGACAAATCTCACATTCATTCTGGCTCTCATATGCACTCTCACTCGCACGATGATGATAACATGCACGGAATTTTTCTACATGTCCTTGCTGATACAATGGGTAGTGGTGCCGTTGTCCTGTCAACAGCACTCACATACTTGACTGGGATGAAAGGCTGGGATCCAGTAGCTTCCGGTATCATAGCGATTCTTATCTTCCTATCCTCGATCCCTTTAATTAAAAGCAGTGCCAAAAAGCTTCTTTTAACTCTACCTGACGATAGAGAATATTCAGTACGAAATGCCCTTACCGGAATTAATGATGTACGTGGCATTATGAGATATTACAACTCTCGATTTTGGCTCGGAGAAAACACGCTTGATGGTGACGGTGAAAAGGTATTCGGTACTATGCATATCATTGCAACGCGCGGCTCTGATCTTGAAGAAGTTCAGAAAAGGACACAGGATTACCTTTCAACAAAAGGCATAGATTTGGTGGTACAAGTTGAGAAAGAAGAAGCTTCTCAAAGCGAGAATGGACCGATAAAATTATCCGACAAGTAAGGCGACACGAACCCCATATCTTCAAGCTTTACGTTTCTACTTCCTACATGCACTCATCATCACAAAAATGATTATGAGCTTTGAAAAGTGAGGTATTTCACCACGCGATTGATATATGTAAGGGATTCTGGTCGTGGTCAAGGTTCACAAAAAAACCTTTTTCCTCGTGAAGCACACTAAGTAACCATCAGTCAAATAAAGTTTTTAAATGGGTTCCAGCACGAAAACTTTCGCAACAAAAGTGGCACTCTTTAAAGCTTTTAAGCCCCTTCTCACGAAAATTCTTGACTTACAATGAATGATACATGCCATTATCACTCTAGCTTGATATTCCAAGAGAAGAAGTCGAGGATAGGCAGATACTTGTTAACTCAAAGATGGTACAGACTTCGATGGGGCTGTTAATATAAAAAATGCGAAGGGATGTCAGCACGGCCGAGACAAGATATATCTAGTGCCTCATAGTTACGAGGAATTAACTGACGAAACTGGAATGCTTGTTTCGTGAAACATCACTTCATGCCTGATCTAAATAGTATTTGGCTCTGATTAACTCAGTCGTCCCAAAACAAATAAGATATCTTTCATGAAAACTCTAGCCCTACTGACTGCTTCTACACTATACGGTGTCGACTGAAATATGGAATTAATTGATCACTAGGGAAGACGATTGATCACCGATTGACATACTCCTCATTTTCTCGGGGACTCATCGGTTGCGACTTTTAATACTGGACGGCATGATTCTTGTCAAAGCCCAAAAATTCCCTATCGATACTTCCACGTCAATCAGCCTCAGGTAGACGTCAAACCGGCGAAAAGCAATGGATACCACATTTCAAGCGAAATAATGTAAAGACTGGTGAATTCAAACAATTTGAATATACGGGCTGATAACCCAAGACATTTTGCTTCAACTTGGGTCCCAGAAAAAAAAGTAAAAGTTAAACTTTATATTCTCTAGATAGAGCTGTTCACATTTTTCTCTAGAATAATGTATGCCCAGAGACTGTGTAATGGTCTTTGTGTCTGGGAAAATTAAATAGCAAGATTTACACAAACAGGTTCAAAAACAATCATTGCACTCAGACTTTTGTTTATATTGCGTCGTTTTGGCAAGACTTCATTTCCTGAACCCCAGAGAAGTTTTATGTATAACTTTGCATGAATCATTAAAATCCAATTCACTAAGTTTATTATTTTATGCGCGATCATCCATTGGGGTATTTCGTATTAAGTGTTTACAAATATGGCTCCCCAGACAAGCTCCAAACGCGCTACTTCCTGTTTTATACCCTAAAAACGATGTGGTTTTATCTTGTTTCTGAATTTAGGGAAATATTCAATGTGTAAGTTTAACATCTAGTTTGTGGTGATTTGATTACAAATTTATATCGAGTTAAAAGCTAATCTAATCAGCTGAAAGCCATCATCAATTCCACATGTTGACAAGAGGATTACGCCTACCACTCTTCATTTGCCATCTCGGGCATTACTAATCCCAGCTCCGTAAGATCTAAAGTTATATTCTTAGCATGTCATATGCTCTTGCCTCGGTAGAATGAGATTCAGCTTTTAATAGATGGGCGCGCGTCACATAGTCTCTTGTGATCCGTTTGCGTATTGTCTTTTCTCAGTCTGAGAAATTATAGGAAATATCGGTACTTTCCATCTATATGACAAGGCGCCTAATCAGTGGTATTTCCCCCCCCCCCATGCCTCCCATACTGTTAGACATAAGGAATTGTCTAACGTTTATCGGGTGTACGGATCACATTTAGTTGTATTGGGTCCAATAATAGAGTACTATAATTTAACTGGTTGAACGCACGGTCCACTTATAGAATAGATAACTTCTGGGGACCAATGCTCGAAAACAGAAGAGAAAAAGAATCAGGTTGTTTCTTTTTTTTTTCAATAATTTTAATGTTCTTTCTGAGTCTATGACTATGTAGGACGTGCAGGTCCTCTCTGTCTATAGGCCAAGGATACCTATACCAGTAGTATATCCTCTCCCATGCCTTCCATACAGCTCCCCTCAGACAGTATCACCCCTTCCAAGGTCCCCATTCAATCATACGGACAAAGGGGCTATCTGCCCTCATTATCTCTCCCCTTCAGATAACTAAACGATAACCATTCACGAGTGTATGGCAATCGGGAAAGTCGCAATAACCACTGGGTGTAGGGCTCTACTGATACCGGCATCAGGACTGAGTCCAAAGACAAAGTGGTCCTTCTGAAGCGTTCGAAGAGGCCGGCCAGCTGGGCGCTGCATAAATTTTTGTATCAGATTTAAATTGCGTATGTAGCTAGCTACATAGCTATGACATAGTATCAGAGACAAATTACTAAACTGATGAATTCATTTCAAAATAAATCACTCATGCCTCGAATTTCGTTTGCAAACACCATTGCAAAATTATGCCGGCTCTTTCTATGCCTCAAGTCGACCTGTTTTCATGTATATCCATCCAAGGAAACGTCTCAAAAATTCCGATTTATCCAGATATGCCTCTATCACTCATTGATTTCTCTTCGCGCGAAATGTGGTTTGGAGCTTCTCCTTGTCAAGTGGAGTAGGTGCCTAGACTATTCGAACTATACCAGAGAACACCGCGCGCTGCAGACTTGTGGGTACATCGGGAAATTAACTCTCTGCCTTTCTAGTCTCCAGCGAACCTTTTCCGAAGGACGTGCTGAAATGTCAGAAAATTATGCTTAGTCAGCTGGGTTGCTAAGTTAGTGTGTCCACAACCTCAGAACCTGTCTTTCATACATTTTACTGTGTTACTACATCGCGTCATAGGGGGACGAAATTCAAAACCAGTCAGTGTTATTCCCTCCGAACATACAGCTCTCACTGTAGAGTCTGCGGAGCCGAGATTGAGTAAGACATTTTCAACTTTGAGCCGAGTTATCTCCCCCTCCGTCGAAGATACTCTTCCGATGATACACAAGACGACCAAGACGATCAAGACGACAATAATGCTGCTGGGATTGAGGAAAGATAGTGCGGTACCAAACGCTACAACGTTAGTCAGAGAATCCCTCGTTATATCACAACATGTGCTACTCACCGGCCGGCGAACAAAAAGCCCACGAAAGCAAAGTAAAAGACCCTTCCGCCCTCAAGAAAAGCAGATTTCGACTGGTCTACAACATTGTCCCTACTAATCTTAACTTCGAATCTACTAGCCAGGAGGGCATCTGAAATACATGAGTTACTCGACAACCCCACGTCCGTAGCGACTTTTGGATGCTAGACTCTACTCCTTCATGGCAACCACTCTCGACCAAGACCTTTCTGGCATCCTTTCACGACTTCTGGTTTATCCTGCGGCATGAATCAGGGGAGGAGAGATAATGACGGACAATGGCTCCTCTAAGTGTGTACTCAAATGAAGACCTGTGGGGTATTACTGCTGGAAAGAAGCCGTGAAAGAGGCAAAGAAGGGAGTACACTATCCGAGGCATAGACACTCCCAGCCTGTAAGTAGTAAGTACCTAAATGTCCTTCCATAGACTTGTAGGATAACAAATACGAAAAATGTCGTGCTCGCGCACTTCGTATGAGATCTTCACTTACCAGCTAGCCTATACTAAGTAGAACTACCCGACGTGTTGGCTCCTGGACAGACCCAACGCAGGAAATGAAGTCAGGATATTATCATCCTGCGCTCGAATATTATATTACACATGAATGCTGGACACCTGTCGACTCCCATGATTAATAGATGGTATTTTGGGAAGAAAAAAGTAATAAAGATAAAATTAGTTACATCAATGTAAGGCTGTGACGGGAACCCCGAGTTGGTGATGATAATGTCGATTTAATAAACTGTATAAAGAGGAAAGAGAAATCTAGCTACCACTAACGGGTCCTTATAATATTCAGCCCCTCAGTGATTGTCCTGACTGATTTCTTCACCCTAGGCCGAATACTTGCCACCCAGCCACATATTATCAAGAATCACTACGCTGTGACACTGATCTGGCCCCTTGGCTGGTAGTGCCGTATCTTCCTGTTTCCTCTATCATTTCCTTACAGTCTTACAACATGAATCTTCAACAATACGCTTAGGCATCCACATAAGCTCAGAAAACGGTCAAACCGTAACAAAGGCTCTCTGGCTTTTATTACATGATACAGTTCTGACCAGACTTATCGTTGGATAATCGCTTTTAGGTTATAGCATTTCCTGGCTCATGAGAGATAAATCAGCCGATACGTCGAGGCGCTAAATGAACTCCAAGCTTGTTTGCCCATTGTTTACAGATGTGATGTCGCTTTCACAACTTTGGTAAAGTTCTTATCGATTGAATTCGATTTGAAATTTCTATTGTTGACTTTTCTCCGTCAATGAATAAATGAGACAAACTGGCCCAAATAATTCTGCTGGTAGTATATCACTTCCCATACCCCCTAATAGCTCTCCTCAAATAGCATAACCTTCTACGAGACCACATTTAAACATTCACGTAGATGAGCACAGTGCCGTTCTTCATCTCCCCTCTCTAGCTAACAAAATGATGGCCATCTTGCGGAAAACAGGCAGCCCCAAAAAATTATCAAATATACTGGGGGTGAGACTCTCGTAATATCGACATCAGGACTAAATCCATTGAAGTAGGGCTGGGGAGGAACTGTAAACGGGGCATTATTATTTCTTGTCCGCAGACAGAGAGAGCCTACACATATAATGTAATTCAAGAATGAGATAGAGTAATGGAATATTATGATAATATGTGATAATATGTTTAGAACTAGGCGTCATTGCTCCACCAGCGTTTGAATGACAAGCAGACAATTAGAATTTACGGGGTCAAAATGATGTTTTATACAAATACATGATACCAATCATGTGTCACAAATACGATGCCAATTAAATGATAGATGATAAAAAATGCTCAGCCAACTTTTTTCCATGGCACTGACAACTTAATAGAGAGGCTAATTCCTCTGACTCGTCTTTTTCGGAAGTCTAGCACAAGCTGCAGCAGGGGGCTTGGGCTGAACGTCTATCGTTTGCCTCATGACCTTAATTTCTGGTCAGGATGAAGGGTCGCAAGTACGTGACTTTTGAACAAGTGATGGCCCAAGACTCATTATCTAGGCTGAGTCACTCCTAGCAAACAAGTTTCGATATATAGAGATTAAAGTTAATCGACCACAATTTACGTGTGCTTAAATATTAGTTTATGTATCACACAGTATGTGTGTGTGTGTGTTTTATTGTACTACTTGAGTCTATGACTATCTAGCACATTGGGCTCCTCTCTGACCCAGGCCACACCTTGTACAGTGCTCCTATCCTCTTTTGTTACTTGAAAGATCATTGATATCGTATCACACAGTAATTGACTATGATAATGGTGAAGAGTCATAATAACGTGATCATAGCCCCTCGAAATACCTACTCGATTGAAGAACCTCCGGGGTATCATCAATAGGTTCGCAGACCAAAGCACTGGCTCCCCTGACTGTTTGACAGAAAGCACATACATGTACTATAAATAGCCTCAGTATATAGATGATGTAAGTCCAAAACGAGGGTATTTGTTTTTTCCATGTTTGTTTACCGCAACTAGACTACAAATGATGAGATAATTAGAGAATAATACTGTGAAAATTCCATACCAAGAATAGTAGCTTCGCGAGAGGTATCTACCAACTTACACGGTCTCTGCAAATAATTATATCCAAAACACTTTATATACCCATTTTATTTCATATCTCCATGATCCAATCACATCGCTCCTGTAGCCGTTGTGTCTGATGTATGTAAAGTATTAATCACAATTGATAACCACTACCTGGAGATGAAACCATAAAGTCATCGCACAAACCAATAAGAATTGGAGATTCAGTGCTCAAGCTAACAGTCACTTTGTACACTTAAAATCTGGTTAAGCGAATATTTCACATAAAGCGTTTGCCTATGACCGTGATGACTGCAAGTTTCTCGCTATGCCTTACAAATCTCAGGTTTGCAACGATCCAGATAAATTTAGCAAATTACGAGTTTTTACAGATTTGCAACCAAGAGAGCTGTATCCCTCCACGGCGATTGTGATAGGTCCAATGCTCACGGGATTGATCCCAGATGTTGTGGCATTATCAGCCCTCCTGAGATTCCAGTTGTTCTCCTAACGTGTCATGGTCTCGTAGTTGCTTTTGTTTAATCCCAGTTCTTATGGAGAAAGCAAGTGGATAGCGTCGGGATTATCTATGATATTTTTGTGGACTCTTTCCTTGCTCTTGCGTTAATGATCGTCTGCCCATGCATACTCTCACAGTTGACACTCGTCTGGAAGGGTGTAAGGTAAATAGTACTTGTTAGTTGTAGAGACAAAAAATCATCGACCCTATGTGACCCATTGTCGTTGAGGGGGCTGTTTTGAGGTGCGACCAAATTGCTTACAGTGGGACATGGTTAAGAAACTGCTCGACTTCGTCCCTGGCGCTAACGTCATGATTATGCAACATTTAACTACATCAAATTTTATTCGTAAACATCGCCCTCCTGCAACCATGACCCAACCCAAACTTCTCTCTCGCCACCCTCGTCAATTTGTTCTGGCAACGACACGTAAGCATGCACACAAGAAGGACTCCATGTATGTCGCTACTTTACTGGCTGATCTCTTCAGCCACCTCTCTAGACCGGTCAATTGCCAGAGAATCTGCAGGGATTTTGAGAAACCACGTCGCGCGTACAACGCATTTCGTGGTCGAGTCGTGAAAATCACCATGCAGAATGTAGCCTATAGCAGCATGGCTTTACTATAAGCAAATTGCAGCCTCATTAGGATCGTGTGAGCAAAACAGAATAGGAAGTCTTGCATTAATTTTGTTACTTGAGTCATCTATCCCATATCTTTAATGAGCATTTGTCAGCTACCAAACCAAATTATTCTCTAATCTCAGTACTTGCTATCCATCTTCGGATTGGAGAAGGGAAGAATAACTTTTCGCGGTAGCAATATGTCACCTCCCAACTCTCGGCCTCCATTAACATCACGAATCCGCGCCTCCTTTGAAGGCCGACGTCACAAGGCTGAACTCTCAAGTCCTACCAGCCCGAAATCCCAGGACAATGAATCCATACGAACGATAGTCGAACAAGTTATAAATACGCAGCCCTTTCAGGCTGCGATTGCTACCAACCTTGCGCAGCTCATAAAGCCCAATATCAAAGATGCTTTGGACACCATACAGCCACTCGTGGAAGCGGTATATGCGCATGAAGTTCTTCTGAGGAAAACTAACTTCAGCGTGGAGAACCTTCTTACAAAGCTTGAGACAGATGTCCTTCGCCCAAAATCGAACAGTACATCCATAGCCGAAAGTGATAGTGATAGAATTGTTTTGCCACACATTCGTCATAACTCTGAATCCAACTCGAAAGCATCAGAAAATAATTATGGATCAAGCAACCTAGACAAAAACAGCTTAGGCAAAACAGTGAACGCGAATAAAGATGTAATCACTGATTCAATCGAAGGGGCTCAATATCCTACTCTGACCGCTGAAACTTTTCTCCAAGATATTTTGCCCATAAAACAACAAATCAAGGATCTCGAATTAAACACAGAGCATAGCAAAAGCAACATGGATCTCATGGAGGAAAAACTCGATGAGATAAAAAGCGATCTATCAATCGTAATATCCATGATATCAGAGGAAAAAGGTGGTACCAGGGCTAGTCTTGATAGCTTAAAAGGAAGCCGTACATCTTTAGAAGACCATAATTATGCAGGAAATAGGCGTAGAGATGGGCTGAGTAGGTCACCCACACAAGGCAGCGATAGCACTATAACTATGAAAAAGAAATATATCAAAGAGCCAAAACAAAAGGTTTGTAAAGATAAATCTCATGATTCTAATGCGTCACAAGAACTTTCGGTAGTTGAGACCAGGTCGAGATCCCCCAGTGACTCACTTCATACCCAGACCCTAAAGAAACTCGAACTTGAGATTGCAAACCTAAAGGAAAGCTTTGATAGTAATATGGCGTCTAATGATGAACGAATTTCTACAGTGCTTGCAACGCTTGAGAATCACCCGCAGACACCTGATAATTATTTTGTAAAAGCTATTGAAAAATTAAATACCAATCAGGAATCTCAACACTTAGCCCTGTGTACTTTACTAACAGAAAGAATAACACTGGCTAGGAATAAAGAGTTTGAAGAGTTGGGACAAAAACTAGCCCAACTTCAAGATCAATTAAAAGGTCCCGATGTGATCCTTGAAGATATTAGATCATCTAATGCTCTCCACAATAATGCTCTGGTAAATCAAACTTCTGCTTTGCATGAGATAAAGACCAACATGGCCTCATATGATACCAAACTTGAGCAACATAGTGAAGCCATCACAAGGCTCATTACGATAAGCTCAGAACCATCATCTATCGTGACTGCAGATAACAGTGGCTTAGAACAACAGGTCACTTCCCTGATTGACACTCTTAATTCACACACATCTGAATTCGTGGAGATTAAAGCCGCTAATGCTGCTCATGCCAAAGTTCTAAAAAATAATACAGCAAATTTAGAACAAATCAAGGCAGATATTGAATCGTACACGACTACTATCCAGAATAACATTGAGCTCTTTGATGAAACTATACGAGAAGCCTTGGCATCAACCCAGCTCACTTACAACAATTCAATTGCACTTGGAGATCAAATTATGTCCATAAAAGCTAATGTTGATTCCCAAAAACCATGTCTAGATAAATTCAAGCTTGAGACTGAGTTTAACAACAACCAAAAATTTGATTTAGTCGAATCAGAAATAAAAGTTATTACTGACACACTTCTTTCACATAGTTCTCTTCTCGATCAGATCCTGAGTAAATGTTCTACCCACAATGTAGCTCTACAAACAGTTAATGACATGAAGGAATTTTTCAAATCCGAATTCCATGAAATTAAGCAAAGCAATGATGCGAACTCGAGGACTTTAGGTAGCATGAAAAGCAACCATGAAAACAACATAGACGTGATAAATCAAGTAAATGTATGGGGCTTATCATTTAACCAAGATATGAAGGATATCAAGAGTCTACAGGAGTCTTATGCTAGAACATCTAGTGATAATCAACAGAAAAATTTCGAAATCTTCAATATTCTTAAAAGCATAAAAGATTCACATGAGCTCCATAATGATATTATTTCCGGCATCAAGGAAGAGATAGATTGCTCTGCCTCTGACTTGAAAATGATCCAGGCTTTTCATAAATCTCACGAGGGTGCTATTTTAGACATGAAAACTTCTATCGATTTCACAAACACAACCTTCGGAGTAAAGCTTGAATCCATAGAATCTACCGTATCGGAAAACAGCACACAACTCGAATTACTAAAGGGAATCGTGCAAAATATAAAGCAGGATATTACTCTCGACTTCGAACCGGAAAAAATACATAAAATCCTTGAAATGATTGTCGAAAGTCTCGCAGCTCATTCTGTTCTTCTCGGTGAAATAAAAGAGGATGTCTGTGCAGAAATATTGACATCTCTGCATGATATTGAGCGTGTAATTCAATCAAATTCTAATCTACTTGCTGATACGCAACAAGTTGATGTAAATGCTGAAATCCTGACACTACTGCACACAATAAATGAGGACTACTCTACAATTCCTCCCTCTTTATCTGAGATCAGGGATCATTGTGATAACCCAAAGCCTTCATCAGTTGCTATCGCTCTAATTCAAAAAAGATTTGCCGACATTGAGAGTGCTATGTCTGAACACCTCAATCACCTCATTTCTCTCAGTAGCTTTGCTGACTCATCGAAAAAATACGAAGACATAAAATTATCCAAGTTAAAAGAAGTAGAATCTTATTCTGAAGAAATTCTAGGAACGAGCAAAGAATCTGCATCTAAAATAAATGATATCATTCTCAAATTAGATGGCCAAAATATAGCCATAGATATGCTCAATCAAAAATCATCCAACCAAACTTTCCTAAAACTTTTGAACACTCTGCAATCAACGAATGAAATTTCTTTAATTAAGATCGAAGAAAACAACTTCACCGCCAGGAATATAAGTGATGAGACTAAGAACTTATGTGGATTGATCGAAAAAATACATGCATTCATTATTTCTGCCTTCCCTCAGATAAAATCTGGCCAGGAGCATCTAGAGAATCTTGGCGAGAAATCTCGTCACGAAGTTAAATCTGAATTGAGTCGAATCTCCGAATATTTGTTAACTATCCAAACCATTCTTGGTAAGGCATCCAACACAATTGATAACACTTTTAGTGAAGTCATCAAACCTTATCATTATCAAGATATCACCCATCCCATGTCGGCTTTAAGCGACAGCATGAAGAAAGATATTCAAAAATTTGATACGGTTGTACAAAATTTCATGGAAAAAGTTGAGGAAAATAAAATTCTTCTAAATTCAATTACGGAAACAATAAAGGATAAAATATCCATAAATTTAACAGATAATGGTGATAATAACGCTCCAAATCAAGGAATAAGGCAAATACAACAGAATACGTCTCTTAATGATGAGATATGCTTCTCAACAGAAATTGGAGCTATTCGCTCACAAAATTATAGCATTGATAGCTATCAAGTTGGAGAAAAAGAAGCCATCAAAAGGGTATAAAGTCATCTAAATTTATATAACACAACTAATGTTTTTATAGAATATATTTTCAGGTTTAAATCCTCTAACTACTGTAAATGACTGGCAAAAACAGCCTCTTAATTTTCCGGTTGAAGGAAAAGTAGCAACTATTTGCAGCATTGATTCTGGAAACCAAATTTTACAAACAGATTCTCAATCACAGGGTAAAAATTCTAGGCTTGAACTAACGCCGGAATGCATCGTTAAAGATAAAGATTGTCTGTTGAAAATAGATTTCCCCTCTCAATCTGATAATCAAAACAAAAATTATTTATCTGTGGAATCGAAGGAAAAAACTACAAGAAATATCAAAATTGCTGAGCACATTCAACAAAATATTGTTATACCAATAAATAACATTACTACATTAATAATTCAATCGGAATGTAAAGATGAAACTGAGGAAAGTGACAAATATTTAGTTTTATCAGCCGGAGCCGCTACACCAGCTATCGATACTGGTCATAATATTAAGGAAAATGATTTTTTTATCGATGATAACGTCGTCAGAGCTGGAGTGACATCAGAATGTAAAGCTAATACTGACCAATATATCGAGGGATCGAATCTTGATGAAGAATCCGCTGTTCCAGTTGAGCCTCATTTCCAGGTTGCATCTAAAATCACAGCCCAGTCTGATTTGCAAAATGAAATACATGGCCCCTCAATCGACATCAAAGATATCGTTCGCAGTCATAATTTCATTCCTCATGTTGACCAAGTTTATTTGCATGAGCTAGGGCAATTTCAAGATGATACTGTGGACTTTATGGAAGATTCAAATTCACTAGTCATACGTAAGCCACCATGTGAATCTAATATTCCAATTGACCTCGATACCATTCGAGAATTATATTTGCCAAATGAAATCAGTAAACCGATTCATGACGTCCACCATATTGACCACAGTGTTGATTTAAATCAAGATCATGATGTTGTTCCTTTAAATGAGGCCACCCATTTAGGAGACAATTCTTCCGAATTCAAGCGAAAAACCGGCCTGCAAGTCAAGTCCGTGATCCCATTTGATTGTGATGTCATAGTGCAATCCAACTTTGCAACTGAAACCAGTGAAAAAACATACACCGCTGAAAGTATTGCTAGCAGTGCTAATTTGATTCAAAATAATGACAAAGTTCCACTGGAAAATGCCACGGAATCCATGCACAATCTAGCGGACTACATTGGAGAATCAACAGTACCAAAAGAAATTGATGCCTCACATGAGTCTTTAATTCTGGATGAAGCTAATGTTAATTGCAAATTAAACTTGGCAACTGAAATTGTCCCTTTACCAATCGAAAATAACAACATCGCTTACAGTGATGATTTGATTCAAGAAAACAACGGATCATACTTGCATGAAGAAACAGCTCAAGAAGAACCTGATAATTCGTTCGAGTCTACAATACCCAGGGGACCAGATGTGACTGTGGAACTAGATCTGCCAACCAGAGCCTGTGATTCTGATATTGACGAGGACGAGATAGTTTGTGGTGGGGACTCGATTCAAAATGACGATGTTGTTCGTTCGGATGAAGCCATTGAGTTCCATGACGAACCCACAGACTGCATCGAAGAAGCGGAAGCTAAAGAGGAACCTGATGATTCGTTCGAGTCTACAAAACCCAGGGGACCAGATATGACTGTGGAACTAGATCTGCCAACCAGAGCCTGTGATTCTGATATTGACGAGGACGAGATAGTTTGTGGTGGGGACTCGATTCAAAATGACGATGTTGTTCGTTCGGATGAGGCCATTGAGGTCCATGGCGAACCCACAGACTGCATCGAAGAAGCGGAAGCTAAAGAGGAACCTGATGATTCGTTCGAGTCTACAAAACCCAGGGGACCAGATATGACTGTGGAACTAGATCTGCCAACCAGAGCCTGTGATTCTGATATTGACGAGGACGAGATAGTTTGTGGTGGGGACTCGATTCAAAATGACGATGTTGTTCGTTCGGATGAGGCCATTGAGGTCCATGGCGAACCCACAGACTGCATCGAAGAAGCGGAAGCTAAAGAGGAACCTGATGACTCGTTCGAGTCTACACATCTGGATGAATCCGATGAACACGAAGTGACTGTGGGATTGGATCTGCCAACAGAAATCGTGGCGCCAACAATTGAAATGAACGATATCATTTGCAGTGCGGACTCGATACAAAATGACGATGTTGTTCGTTCGGATGAGGCCATTGAGGTCCATGACGAACCCACAGACTGCATCGAAGAAGCGGAAGCTAAAAAGGAACCTGATGATTCGTTCGAGTCTACACATCTGGATGAATCCGATGAACACGAAGTGACTGTGGGATTGGATCTGCCAACAGAAATCGTGGCGCCAACAATTGAAATGAACGATATCATTTGCAGTGCGGACTCGATTCAAAATGACGATGTTGTTCGTTCGGATGAGGCCATTGAGGTCCATGGCGAACCCACAGACTGCATCGAAGAAGCGGAAGCTAAAGAGGAACCTGATGACTCGTTCGAGTCTACACATCTGGATGAATCCGATGAACACGAAGTGACTGTGGGATTGGATCTGCCAACAGAAATCGTGGCGCCAACAATTGAAATGAACCAGATCATTTGCAGTGCGGACTCGATTCAAAATGACGATGTTGTTCGTTCGGATGAGGCCATTGAGGTCCATGACGAACCCACAGACTGCATCGAAGAAGCGGAAGCTAAAGAGGAACCTGATGATTCGTTCGAGTCTACACATCTGGATGAATCCGATGAACACGAAGTGACTGTGGAACTAGATCTGCCAACCAGAGCCTGTGATTCTGATGTTGACGAGGACGAGATCATTTGCAGTGCGGACTCGATTCAAAATGACGATGTTGTTCGTTCGGATGAGGCCATTGAGGTCCATGACGAACCCACAGACTGCATCGAAGAAGCGGAAGCTAAAGAGGAACCTGATGATTCGTTCGAGTCTACACATCTGGATGAATCCGATGAACACGAAGTGACTGTGGGATTGGATCTGCCAACAGAAATCGTGGCGCCAACAATTGAAATGAACGATATCATTTGCAGTGCGGACTCGATTCAAAATGACGATGTTGTTCGTTCGGATGAGGCCATTGAGGTCCATGACGAACCCACAGACTGCATCGAAGAAGCGGAAGCTAAAGAGGAACCTGATGATTCGTTCGAGTCTACACATCTGGATGAATCCGATGAACACGAAGTGACTGTGGGATTGGATCTGCCAACAGAAATCGTGGCGCCAACAATTGAAATGAACGATATCATTTGCAGTGCGGACTCGATTCAAAATGACGATGTTGTTCGTTCGGATGAGGCCATTGAGGTCCATGACGAACCCACAGACTGCATCGAAGAAGCGGAAGCTAAAGAGGAACCTGATGATTCGTTCGAGTCTACACATCTGGATGAATCCGATGAACACGAAGTGACTGTGGAACTAGATCTGCCAACCAGAGCCTGTGATTCTGATGTTGACGAGGACGAGATCATTTGCAGTGCGGACTCGATTCAAAATGACGATGTTGTTCGTTCGGATGAGGCCATTGAGGTCCATGACGAACCCACAGACTGCATCGAAGAAGCGGAAGCTAAAAAGGAACCTGATGATTCGTTCGAGTCTACACATCTGGATGAATCCGATGAACACGAAGTGACTGTGGGATTGGATCTGCCAACAGAAATCGTGGCGCCAACAATTGAAATGAACGATATCATTTGCAGTGCGGACTCGATTCAAAATGACGATGTTGTTCGTTCGGATGAGGCCATTGAGGTCCATGACGAACCCACAGACTGCATCGAAGAAGCGGAAGCTAAAGAGGAACCTGATGATTCGTTCGAGTCTACACATCTGGATGAATCCGATGAACACGAAGTGACTGTGGAACTAGATCTGCCAACCAGAGACTGTGATTCTGATGTTGACGAGGACGAGATCATTTGCAGTGCGGACTCGATTCAAAATGACGATGTTGTTCGTTCGGATGAGGCCATTGAGGTCCATGACGAACCCACAGACTGCATCGAAGAAGCGGAAGCTAAAGAGGAACCTGATGATTCGTTCGAGTCTACACATCTGGATGAATCCGATGAACACGAAGTGACTGTGGGACTAGATCTGCCAACAGAAATCGTGGCGCCAACAATTGAAATGAACGATATCATTTGCAGTGCGGACTCGATACAAAATGACGATGTTGTTCGTTCGGATGAGGCCATTGAGGTCCATGACGAACCCACAGACTGCATCGAAGAAGCGGAAGCTAAAGAGGAACCTGATGATTCGTTCGAGTCTACACATCTGGATGAATCCGATGAACACGAAGTGACTGTGGCACTAGATCTGCCAACAGAAATCGTGGCGCCAACAATTGAAATGAACCAGATCATTTGCAGTGCGGACTCGATTCAAAATGATTATATTGTTTGTTCGGATGAAGCCATGGAGTTCCACAACGATCCCATTGACTGCACCGAAGATGCAATAGGACAAGATGATCCGGAAGCTACAGCAGAATTAACAGAACTTGATGAAGGCGACAAATCTGAGGCGGGTCAAGAACTTGAACTGCCATCAAGAGGTTGTGAATCAGAAATGATAATTGAGGAGAATGTGTTGAGTGATGTAATGCCACAAAAGGAAGTTAGGGCATTTTGGAGTGGGCCTTGTGAAGGTCAACAAGATATTGTGAATGTCCTTGACGAAATATTTGTACCAGTGATGTCAGATCTTCGAATTGAACCTCAAATCAGTTGTGATTCTGATATGCCAATGGAAATCCATGCGGCATCAAACGACTCGAACGATATCGCTTATAGTGAGGATTTGACGCAAAAATATGAAGAATTTCGTTCCGATGAAACACTCGATAGTATCCATCAAGCTATAGACTACATCGAAGAATCAACAGCTCAAGGGGAAACCTATGCAATGAACGGTCCATTGCACTCAAGGGAACACGATATAATTTTTGAATTGGAATTAGCAACCAGAGATAAGGAATCCGTAATTGACGTGGAGGAGATAGTGCGAAATGATAATTTGTTTCAAGATGATAACATAGTTCGCCATAATGATGCTTTGGAATGTCAAGGAGCCGCCGCAGAGGTCGTGGAAGAAATTAACTTAAAAGTGAAGTCCGACATACTATGTGAGCCTGAGCTCTCAGTTGGACATTATGCCAAAAGCGAAATTGATTTATCCAATAAAATTAGTGAACGAACACACGACGCTGAAATTATTGCTAATAGTGTTAGTTTGATTCATTATAATGAGGCAGTTCAGTTGAATGAAACCACGGAATCTATACACGATCTAGCGGATGATATCGGAGAATCAATAGTAGGAGATGAATCCGATCCCTCGAAAGAATCTTTGAACTCGAATGAAGTTAATAGTACTCTCGTATCTGACTTGCCAACTGAAATTATCGCTTCAACAATTGACGCGGACGACATCGTTTGTAGTGACGATATAAGTCAACATGATGACGTAGCGCGTACGGACAAGTTAAGGAAATGTGAAGAAGCTGACGTGGAGTTCACGGAAGAAACCATTCTACCCGTGCATCCCAACATTCAATGCGAGTCTGAGTTTCTAGGCGAACATTATCCAGGTCGTGAATTAGTTTTGCCAGCCGAAGTTGATGGCCCCGCAATCGATGTTGGCGAGATCGTTAGCGGTGATGATTTAAAACAACATGCGGAAGTTATTCGTTCGGATGACTCAACTGATTCCAAATTCTTACCTGGGGGTTGTATGGAAGAAACACAAGTTCTAGATGAAACTAATGCCTCGGATGAGCCTTTACATCAGGATGAGCCTGATATCAATCGGGAATTTGACTTACTAACTGAAAATATCGTATCAACCATCAACGTGGATGTTGTATTTTGCAAGGACGAGCATATTCAACATGCTGAAGTCGGTTTAGATGTGGCACTTGAGTCCAGAGATGATTCGGAGAAATTAAATAATGATCTTGGATTTTCTGCTGGTAGCGATGATGCGATGCTTCTGGTCACTTCTATTGTTCCAATGATATCAGAGTCAGGGAATGAAGATATTTCGTTTGGAAATAAATTATTAGAAAAAGATGACGATGGATCGCCGAAAGTTGTAAATAAGTGCGAATCTGATTCGATCGATTTGAGCCGGGCGGAAATTCTTTCCAAGTATTTCGTACCAAAGAACGAAATTAATCGAAGCACTAAGGGAAATGATGAATCTTCAGGGGATAAAGAAGACGTATTTGAAGGTGTATTGTCATGCAAAGATGAAGCGAAGGAATGTATAAAGGAAACAGATATGCCTGCTGGATCTTTGGAATGTATTTGTGATAACGTTGATAACATTCAAGGAAATATAATTGAAGAATTGGATGATAATGAAGGAATTGCAACGGCATTTGAACCCAATGTTATTGTTGCGCACAATACGAAAGTAGCAGAATTTCCGGTAGAATCTGTGGAATTAATCCATGATAATGATAAGGTTTTGCTCAAAAATTTTCATCGAACAGCGGTCGATAATACTGAGACGATGTTGGCAAAGAAATCAATAGTACATGCTGAGACTAGTTCTGATGAGGAAATTGAACATAATTTGGATGTAATAGACGTCGATACGAAGACAAAATCTCTGTCCGATGTTTCAAAAACTAGGTTATCAATGCACGAAGATTCGATTGAAGAAATTGAATCATCGATTAAAAACTCAGGGAATTTCGATATTATGGAAGGTTTAATTATTGATGCAGTAGCAACAGATTCGGTAGATTGCTTCTTTGATGGAAATGGAAACACTGAAAACAGCGTCACAGAAAGTCATTACATTCTCTCTCCTAAAAACCATGCTTTAGTAGGTGTTAACTCCCATGAAAGATTAATTAGAACTGACAAGATAAAGGAAAACTTAGTGCCAGAAGAAATTTCACTGGGAATGGAGATATTACGCGAAGATTCTGGCGCAGACATTGAACTTCCACCCGATCAAACTACGGACCATTCTACGAAAATAACCAAAAGCACGAAGATAGATAGAAAACCTGTTTCTATTCATGCGGAGTCTCATATCTTCGAACGCAAGGAACTTAAGAAGAGTATATTAAAAGAAGAGACTTCGGCTGAAGTCGGTAATTATGACTGCGCTGAAATTGCTGATATGGATGACGGCTATTTGAAAGGCGAGATAAAATTAAAACGGGTTGACACAGATTGTAGTGATGTAGAATTTGCTGAAACGACGAAAATGCCTTTGCAAGAACAAATCTCGATGGAAAATAGTGTTGATACAAATTGCACAAGATTTGATAAGAAAGCTGGATTAATGCCAAAAAAAGAGATTTTTACAGAGGATACTGATCAAAAGGTTGATGCCTCCAAGGCTATGGAAATTAACGAGGTTATAGTCTTCAAAAGATTACCATCAGAAGTTGATAATATATTAGGGGGGGCAAAACACGCTGAGATGAATACGAGTATGGAGAATGTAGTAACACCTAAACAATCCGAGACTTCTGTTGACGAAGCAGAATTTGATGTAATAGAGGTGTTGCGAAAAGAAATACCAGGTGAAGATCTCGTAGCTATGATGAGAAAATAGTCTAATATATTGTTACAAGGAATACCATTGAACATCAGAAAAAGACAATTCGTTCCGACAGAGAAATTAACAACTGATGAACAAATATTGAATAAGGTACTAGAACCTGAATTAGAAGCAAACAGTCCACAAAATAAAATTGTCGAGAAATTAGATATAGATGAAAAGCTTATTTCGCAAGTTCAAACCGACAAAAAAACCCTGGATGAGAATCTAACAATCGATGTCACAAGGGAGAGACTCAATTTTGATGGAAGACCAGGAAATATTATTGAAGATAAAAAGTGCTTATTTGGAAATTGGGAAGGTCTAGAGGTCACAAAGTCACGTAATCATGAAGCTGAATATAGCAGTGGCGAGACAATTCTAAAGAGTGAAAATGAAGACGACTCATCGTGTGTGGAATATAAAAGTCTGATGATTCCACGTAAAAGGTCGGAAAAGTTTGAGGAACTGATAAGAAAGTTTGAAGAACCTGAAGACGAATAAGATGCTAACTAGGATTTTAAATTTTCCTAACTTATTCATATCAAGCTATCGCGGTTAATCCCACCATGATAGTACTTGAGGAACTATAATATAGATTACAAATTTGCCTTGTTAGTCTTCGAGTAAATGCCTTGTGCTCAATCTTTAAGCCACATATGGGATCAAGGATTTCTATCTATGTTGGGTTTGGTATTTTTTTGTGCTGCTTGAGTCAATGAATATCTAGCACATTGTGTTTATCACTGGCCCAGGCCACACCTTGAATAGTTCTACTATCATCCTTTATTAATAAAAGTGTTCTCTGGTATAATGCCGATAACGGGTAGCCATTTAGATTAGTGTTTACCGGTGGAACTCGGCCTCATTTCCCATGGAACCTTCTACCTAAAAATAAGGTAGTATTGGAAACTGCATAAGCGTGAAAATGTCTAAAAAAAACTCGAAGCACAAACCAGGATATATATAGATACCAAAACCCCACAAGGTGCATTTCTCCAATTTTATGTCCATATCTTGTAAAAAAGAGGCCAATATGATCAAATTCAACATCACCATATCGGGTGATGGGTACTCTCCGTAAACTCGTCGGATGACATTTCCTCCATGATCAAGGGTTGGTGATGAGAAGGACCTCAGCCCTACCATCTGATCTGGTGGTGATTAGCTTCATGGTGATGGTGGTAGAGGGATTTGTTGATAGATGAAGACGATACAGAATACGAGAGCGATTGAGAATCCTTATCGAAGTGAGGATTGGAGGTTTGTAGGGAATATCACTGATAAGTGATGAGTTTTCGTGCCATTTTCTACCTTATTTTGAGGCATTTCTCAAGAACTTTCTGTTCGGGTTAGACCAGGGCTAGGAACATGCAGAGAAGATCGAAAAAATTACCGGCTACTGTTTCTGCTCTGGGGTATGAACTGAAGGCTTTTGATGCAAGTTGTAGGAAGTTTACTATGATACATGTGTGTCAAAGTGTTAGATCAACACATATTTAGCAGTTAGACGCCCCAGGGGTGTAGTTTCATGGACCAGGTTTAGAAGCGAGAACACTACTATCGCGAGCATGAACGTGGAGGGCATGACGGAAAACCTGTACGCGTTATCCTCTACGAACATGGGAGTGAGGTAGTCTCCCAGAGCCAAGTTCAATCAGATATCGCAATACGATAGAAGTTAGCCCTCGAGGCAATGATTCAAATTACTCCACGACGTCAAATTTTCACCCTCAAAGAGTCCGATTCCTACCTGAGCCTCATCAAGTCTACAAGTACGACCTAATACATCCTTATTCCAATGATCACACCTCCTGTCGACTATCTCTGGCCTGAGCTGGTCACCAAATACACGCCCACACCGATATCTATACCCGACGGAGGAAGCAAAGCATGGTGCGCAAATCCGGAAGACAGTTCTACGGGATGGACGTGAGAGGGATCAGGATAATTTTACAAGATGAGCTTTGTGTGTTCCAAGACTTTGGTTGCGAGAGTGCGGGCGACACTATAAATACTGCCATGGTTGGATGGTGCGGTGGTACATCATCTCCGCCGGTCTTCCAAGTAGAGTCCGTGTATTTTTTTGATATTGTGTCGAAGCTCGATAGCCGATACGCAATAAAATCTGATGCAAAAAAAAGAGTCTGGATAGCTTGGACACATATCCCACTCGAGACAGTAGACCGCTGGTTCAAATCCGGCAAAACACAACCACTTTTCTAGCGGCGCTGGTAGACATGGATGACGATGGCATGCTTGGATAACCAAAGGTTTTGAAATTCCCTTTGGTGGGTACTAACGGAGGAGGGTCGACTGTTTGTGTAAGCGAACATACCTCATAGTGGGATTTGCGAATGAAATCCAGAGTACGAGTGTCTCTAACGTTAAAAGAGTCATCCAACATGTATACATAGCACCGGTCATTTCTCATAGCTCATAGCTGAATACACATTAAATGATTTAAAAAAAAGGTCTGACGGGCCAGGTTGCCCATTTCAATTGTAGACGTCATCATTCAAACCCCGCATCACAAATCATCGCATAAGCGGAGCCCACATCAAGTCGCTTATCTAATAGTTAAGTGTTGTTCCCTGTCCTTTGTGCATATCGCTTAACGTCGTAAAAGTGTCTAAATGGGCGACGCACAACACCCTTTGTAGCCGGGGACTGCTATTAAGCGATACCCCCGCGTTCCTCAAACGTACTATCCAAGTCTCGCGCCATTCCACAATTAATCCCTTTCGCACGATTACTTATCTGACTGCAATTGTGAATGATATTACTGTTTGAGGGGAGCTGCATGGGTGGCATAGGAGGGGATATACTACTGGCATAGGTATCCTTGGCCTGTAGGCAGATAGGACCTGCCCGTCCTACATAGTCATAGACTCAGACAGGACAATAAAATAAAATGAAATAATAACAAAAATAAAAATATCCTCCTGCAATATCATTGAGCCTCGTGAAATGAGGAAAGGTTATTATCCCATGGACCAATCAACAATTGTTTACATTTCCACGTACCATCATCCCTCTCAATGTTTTATCGGTTCATAGCTTTCATCGAGACCCATCCTTAGCTACGTAATCTACTGTGAATATCTACCCCGCTTCCAAGCGTAAACATCATTATGTTCCCCTTGTTATATTTGATCTCCATCAGTGTAGTAGCCCCAACGTCTTACCAACGCGGGAGTTTTCTAGGTGCTTCCGTCGCAAATACTTCGTTTTGCAATCCATAAAGTTCAAATCCGCTCTCTATGGCCTTATAATTCATAACTATTACTCACAATTGTAAACTTACAGAGAACAAGGTCACTTTCGTTAAAATATTCGCCATCTCTTCTTATTCCTTCTAGCTTCGGAGAAAGAACACGACGATTCAGCATGTTTACAGGCATAGTTGAAGCGATAGGAGGTATGACACTTGATCCCCCCTGCGAAAAAAAAATTACCTACCGTCGCGTTACCAAATAGTTCTGTAATTTCTAACGCAAAAACACCTAGTTGTAAAGGAGCTTAATCACTCGTCAGATAATGACGGCACCACAATGACCATCGCGGATGCTTCGTCAATTCTAACAGATTGCCACCTTGGTGATAGTATCAGCATTAATGGTACCTGTTTAACTGTGACTTGGTTCGATAATTCCTCTTTCAAAGTTGGTATTGCACCAGAAACCCAACGCCGAACAAATCTGGGAACCCTTACACCGGGTAGTCGCGTCAACCTCGAACGAGCAGTTTCTGGCAATACGCGTATGGGTGGACACTTTGTTCAAGGCCACATCGATACAGTCGCAACAATTATCAGCCACGAGCCAGATGGTAACGCTATAACTCTTCGATTGCAGCCGCGAGATCGTAACGTGTTGCGATACATAGTAGAAAAGGGTTATGTAGCTCTGGATGGGGCAAGCTTGACAATCACTAAAGTCAATGATGTGGAGGGATGGTGGGAGGTTATGTTAATTGCATACACGCAGGAGAGGATCGTGACCTCTGCAAAAAAAGTTGGGGATTTGGTCAACGTAGAAGTTGATCAGCTCGGAAAATACGTCGAGAAGGCGGTCGAGAGTTACTTTCTACAAAGCAACTTTGAAGAATCAAATGGCTTGCACAAAATGATAACAAAAATTGTTGATGCGCGGTTATCGAATAACAAATAAGACGTAAACACAAGCTTTCACCAGAAATATTAATTGTGGTCTGCATTCAGTCGCCTTGTTACTTTTGAAATCCAGAATTATTTGCTGGATTTACAACTTAGTATTTGGTTATCTTGTCCCCGCTTGCTAATCTTGTACATTACAAGGTAGATGAGTAATTACTTTTGCCCTTGTTTGCCTGATATGAATAGATCCAGTCTGAGCCAGATTGAAGCTTAGGGGAAGAAATGTGAGCTTTATTTCTCCAAATAATTGCACCATTCGTGCTATGCTCGACTGTTGAGGACTACTGCGCGAGGCTTTTCCAAAAGCCAACCCACAAGATTAGTCATACTCAAAAATCCATCCGACTCCAGGGCGCCCATTTCTGGCGAGTTCAACTTTTGTCCACTCTAACGTTCAACTTCATCCCAAATATTTCCAGAAATGGCAAAACTGAGATCAGACTTTTGTTAGTGATTTTCCCTAAGAAAGCGAGGCGAGATATCTCATAACTGAACTGTATGAATTTTGTCGTTGGTAAAGTAGCATTGTTGAACTTTACGGACATTAATCACGTTTTTTTTTAAATCATTAAGTGTATACAGCCCATTAATCACGTTGTGTCAGTGCGGCGTTGGAATCTAGCTCAGTTCATTATTCATGTCAGATACAGATATATATATATATAATTCATTATCCTGATTTGGCGCCTCGTGGCCCATGCAGGTTTTTTATCTGGAGACATGTGTTTTAAGTAGGATGACTCAATTTGACATTTAGAACAGTCACACTCAGATTTCATTTGCAGATACCAATCGAGGTTAACCCTTACGGCGTATAACCTCTTCCGTGCATACCCACCACAGGGAAAAGCGGGAAAAACCTGTGGCTATCCGAGTGTGCTTTCATCATGCCACATGTACAATATCACCGCGAGAGAGAGTGGTGTGTGGGTCCTGCTGAATTCGAACCAGCTTTCTCCTGTCTCGGATGGGGTAGGTGTTCAAGCTACCCAGTATCTACTTGGGAGAACGGCCCGGACGGTATACCACTGCACCATCCAACCCTAAACTGAGATATAGATTTACGTCTTGATCAACAGCCATTTTACCCAATCTTTGTGCTACGACATTACCTGGAACCAATGATAAACTGACACTGATCAGTGATCCATACTATCGGCCACAGATCCGTACGTGGTGTTTATACAAAGGAGCGTCCCTTGGAGTTGTCGACCCTGTCTGAACTAAGCTCCGACGTGTCAAATTTCACAAGTATTGTTAGTTTAGTTTCATTTATCGTGCCACGCTTACACCCTCCATCCAATGGACGTGACACGCATGGAGGACATCTAGAATACAAGTTCCTCCATTCTCCAGCAAAGCCCATCCGGTGCCTGGCTTTTCCAAATACGTGCCTCACGCTAGTTACATCGGGTCGAATAGGTAGGAACGCATTCACCATGATCCTAAGACCATGTATTGAGGGAAAACCTTCGTGGGAAAACCTCAATAATTCCTCCTGTACTCTTTCACAACGAGCGGCCGTAGTCCCCCCTTAAACAGGACGTGTAGGAATCCAACCTACCACTTCTATAATGCACATCCAGCACCCGACCAACTGTGCTAACAGCCTGTTGAAAATCACACATCGTTCTTCCCAAATTCTCCCCTGCAATGCGCTCAACCCCCATTTGAGAGGGTTGAAATTCCGAAATCGAGAGCTCAAAACCGAGGCATCGGTGCCCCAGCTTTCGTCGTACATTTTTAGTTGTCTGAGTGAGGCTTCTTCGTTCGCGCCGTCTTGGGAATGTGTCGAAAAGTTGAGAATGTTGATGTCGCGGTCGAGGTGCTTGTCTAAAATGAGGCCGAGCAATTGCCCAGTCCTGCACACAATGTTAGTAAGGTTGAAAGCGAAAGGAGTTTTACCTTTGATTTTGGATGGTTGTTGGTGAGTCGTAAAGTCCTCCCGATCAAACTCAATCGGGAAGTTGTTAGAAGACTGGATAGAAGAGACCCAAACTTTAACTTTTGATCTATCGTGCCGGGAACGGAACCTAGCCTATATGTCAACCATAATCGACTGGGTCACGCTCAGCAAGCTGCTGTTGCGAAGGATGCGATTCTTCTTGGCTATCCCAGATATGCAGGGTATTCTAAGCGATTACACCGGCACCACTGGAAGGTGAAGAATTCGACTTTGCCGGCCAAGTATTGTAAGATGATGATGATCTTTATTTTACGTCAAGCGAGCCACGCGAAGTATTGTTAGGAGGGCAAGAATGAACACCTGTACGCGATGTCCTCTACGAATCTGCGAGTGAAATATTCTTCCAGAGCCAAGTTCAGTCAATTTTCGCAATATCAAAGAAGTTGAACCATGAGGCAATGATTCAATTTACTCCTCCACGTCGTTTTTTCACTCCCAACGAGTTTGACTCCTGCCTAAGTCTCATCAAGTCTACAAGTACGACCTAGTACATCCTCGTTTCAATGACCACACTTCTCGTCGACTTTCTCTGGCCTCAGCCGGTCACCAAATACACGCCCACGCCGATATTTATACCCGACGGAGGAAGCAAAGCGTGGCGCACAAATCTGGGAGAAAGTTTGGGATAGACGTTATTACGACCGACCTCAGGTTGACACTAGAAGACTCCCTCGAAATATAAAAGAGTAATTGCTTTGTATTTGGACCTAAAGCTACGCACGATTACTAAAAGAAAAGACAAGGAGAGAAAGAGGTCTGCAGCCTCGCTGGGCTGAAAACTCCACCAGCTCGCTTCCGGGACCAACGCTTACTCAACCAGACTCCACATCACGTGATACCATAAACCTATCATCTGTAAACTCAAGCCGTAACAGACGTGAGAGGGATCAGGACAAGTTGACAAGATGGTGCAAAGGAAGAATATAACTTCGAAGGGCGTGAAATTTGGAATTTTGGTAAGTAGTTTTACGTATTGGGCTTTGTGCGCGCCATGACTTCGCTAGCGAGAAAGCAGCTGACACTATAAACACAAGCAAACGATGCAAGGTGTTGTGGTCCGTCTCCTGGTGGTGTTCTCTGGTATAGTCTGAGTAGCCTGGGCACCTACTCCACTTGAGAAGGAGACACCTCAGACCATATTTCGCGCGAAGAAAAGTTGAAAGATGATGGAGGCATGTCTGGATAACTCAGGGTTTTTGAAACGTTTCCCTGGGTGGGTATTCACGGATGAGGGTTGACTTGGGGTGAAGGAAAAGCCGCCATAACTTCGTAGTGGTACTTGCAAATGAAATCCGAGGCATAAGTGCTCTTCCTTAACGATGAATCATCTATTCTGTACTTTTCTTTGATATTGTGTCATAGCTAGATAGCTGCATACGCAATTAAAATCTGATGCAAAAAAAACTAACTAGAGGCATGGACGCCAGTGCTTACTGCCCTGGTGGCTTTGCCCTTGCCACTTCCCAACTAGGTTTGCAAGACAATTCTCAAATCACATGATTGTGTGTAGCTTAGCACTTACACCTTTACAGCTAGTCGCCAAGGCTCTTTACTCCTTTGTTGTATTACATCCACTCTCGGGATACTACTTATAGATCCGTTCAGAAATATCAAACCATCCATCCATAACGGAAGGCTCAAAGCTGAGGTAGAGTTCGAAACCTATTTACTTCTTCTCTGGGATTTCTAGGGCAGATCCTTGTATAAAACTTAGAAAGGGAAAGCCACTTTGCTACACGTAGGACCCCTTCCCAGCTAAATGAGCAGGTGTAACTGCTTGTGACCCGATTGTTGTGAGGCACGTGATTCTATAACTCTACACTAGCTGTCAGGAAATGCTGCTTAGTCAGCTAGTTGGTCAAGTGAAAGGTGTCCACATCATTAGTACATAACACCTTTATCACTACACACCCTTAGTCCTACATCCATACATTCCTCACATATTGCATATTACTATCTGCATTATCTTACTCCCGTGACTATACTTTCTCAATATCCCAACAGGTTATGAGACCGGTGTCTAATTATTCATCGGCTTCCTTTTTCGAACAATCTGCAGCAATGTCTTCATTAACCACAGAAATAAAAGACACCCGCAATCATGACGGTCTTCCACAGTACAAATCTAATTGGTGGAACATTGTGATTCTGAGCTTCGGAACTTTCACAGAGTGGCGGATTACTTGCGAGATTGCTTTAATAAACGCTGGCGTCTTAAGTATCGCTGATGGCACTTGGAAGAAACCTATTGCTAATTATTACATGCATGCTTCCCGTCCTAATACACGATCAGCCTCTTCCGGTGCAGCACACAATGAAATTGATGCCGATGACAATGAATTTCGAGTACAGGAACAGAAATGGTTATCCAAAGCCCGCGACATGCAGATAATCATATCCAACTCCATCGAAACCCAACTGATGGAGCAGTCGCTCGGATTTCTGAGGAACATTGATCCTGCTGGGTTATAGAACTTCCTCCTCCAAATGGACCCAAACAGAGATCCTACAACCATTGCAGAATTGAGATCCAAGTTCGCCTCCATGAAGCTTGATCCGAGAACAGACACAATCCAATCTCTTGTTCTACGCTTCAATAATCTCAGAGTCAAGCTATCAATGACCTCTAGACCGATCACCGAGGAAGATGTCAAGGAGCAGCTTATTGCATCTCTTCCTATGGATAACTCGATTTGGTCTACGGCTCGATCACACGCTCTAAACATGGGTAGAAGTCTAGCAGAAACAATTATATATATTCAATCTTGCGAGTCTAACATTTGTTATACTCAGTCCCCTCAACCACAATCTGCAAATGTAGCACACAGCAATTATAGAAAAAGAGGACGTGGTACATATCGAAGGGGACGCAATACAGCGCACTTTGATCGTCGTGATCAAGCTCGCGGAGAGCTTAACCGAAAAGGAAAGCAAAGAGGAATGGCAACAGACGAAAAGGAGTGTTTCTTTTGTGGTAGAAAAGGTCATGTAGAACGCGATTGTCGCCTCAAGCAGACCCAAAGTAGAGC